AACTTATATCATTTCATTATTTTGTCAAAATCATCATTCGAAATGATGATAACTTTCGATTATATTTCCCATACCTATCTTAAATGAATATATATGTATTATATATGCATAGATTTCGTATAAATGTTTCGACAATTCAATTTCATGGCAAGGAGTAATTCAGTCAACTAAATGAGAGAGGATTATACGGAACGGTTGGGAAATGCCTCCAACAGGTAAATACTGATCCAATACGAGCAGCAAGACACGAGAAGTTTCTTTTGAGGTGCCTTAAATGTCTCAAATTGAAAGTACTACATTTTTATTAGTTTTTTAATAAGTGTGTGTTAGGAATCACACGTTGAAAGGTAAGACCTCGTTAGTCCTCAGCTCGCAAAGTTTCGACTTCTGAGGGTTGCCGCTCATAGGAAAAAACATATTTTAAACATATTTTTTAAACATATTTTGTTTATTTAGGTAAACCAGGAATTTTTCTGATGAAAATTTACTTGATTTTTTTTGCGTTATGTTCAGCAATTCAAATCACATTATCCAAAAATAATAAACATATTGAAATAATCTACAAGAGTGTAATTCAAAATCATGCTAAAGAATTGAAATATTAAAACATTTATTTTTATGAAAACAATGTATTTTATGTACAGGAAGTATAATCAACAGTGATCATCATTTAAAATATTGATTGCGATATAATCATAAAAAAGATATGAATTCCATTCAAAAAAGGGGTTTTGGCTAATCTCTGATATCAGAATTCAATAGATTTTATGAACACACTATGAAAAATATATGAGTTTGGACCATTAATCTGTTCAAAATCTGTTTAAAATTTGTTTTTCCGTTAACCAGCTGTCGCACCCCTACGAACGACAACCTTTCAATATAAGTTCCATAACGGAAACAAAATAATATTGAGAAATATATTCATTTGAAAAATGATCTTCAAATGCGTTTTTTATATTAGATTTTGAAAATTTCCGAAACACGCTAGCTAGTTTTTAATATAACACAGATCTAGAGAATTTTATGTAGACTCTGAATCTATGATAGAACTGTAATTGATGTCATTTTCACATTGAAAATTTTTCCTAACTACCTATACCTTTTAAAATATCTATAGATGTTATCTCTACTTAACATGGGTCTTCAGACAATATGCCATAAGAATTGTGAAATATTGTGTATACATAACTCTCATATAGAAAAACAATAATTTTTCGCTTTGATGCAAATATGACGAATTTCTACGTTTTTATAAAATTTTAGCGCACGTCCTGGTAATAGCTATTACGTTTTCATTTGTCCCCTCTGTATTAGGCATTCAAATTCAGTGAGGTTATAAAGTATATCAACATTCTAATTATTAACATTACAAATTAACTTACCATCGGAAACTCTGGCTTTCATCATAATTTTGTAGCCTCTGGAAAACATTTCTGCCATCTTCAACTTTATTATAACTAATTTTCAGTATTTCAATATTAAATTCTATAAAAAGGATTTAAGCTTTAAATCTTCTATCAATTATCTGCGAGCGTTTTCGACAGTTGATGGTATTGTCATCTTCTAGGCACTCCTCAAAGTGAACTTGTCAACCTGACTGTGTATCTGTCAACAACCCAAAAGCACCAAAACTCAACGCACGGATAAAGATACATAAGGAAAATAAACCTATACGACCGGTTATCAATTTCACCAAAGCACCTTCATACAAAATTTCAAAAATCATAACCGACGAACTGAAAAACAAAATCAACAGGAACAACGACCACAGCATCAAAAATTCAATGGAACTCACAGACAGAATCTCTACGACAAATGTCAGCCCGAACACTAAACTGTTCTCTTTCGACATAAAAAACATATATTCCAACATACCAGTCAACGAAAGTATAAACATCATATCTGAGAAACTAAAACACCAAAACATAGACAAAACCTACATTAACCAAATGGAACACAGTCTGAATACAATAATTATTCAAAATTATTTCGAATCTGAAAGGAAAATTTATGAACAAATAGATGGACTAGCGATGGGATCCCCACTATCTAGCATTATATCCGAAATATACCTACAAACCATAGATGAGAAAATCTCAACAATAATGAAAACACATGATGAAAAAGGAGAATGGTTCAGATACGTTGACGATGGACTGTACATATCACAAAACGATGGAATAAGAATAGAACACATAAAAATAAAATTAACGAAATAAATCGGAAACTATGTTTCAGCATTGAGGAAGAACACAACTCAAAACTTAACTACCTGTACATAACCATAGGATATAACCACAACAAAACACAATTTCAAATGGCAATATACAGGAAACCTACACAAACAAGCTCCACCATACCCGCAAGTTCAAACCATCCACCATCACACAAAATGGCTGCCTATAACGCATTCATATATAGAATGTTGAGGATACCACTCAGCAATGAAGCCCGAAACAAAGAACGGAAAGTCATATAACAAATAGTGAACGAAAACGGATACACCCAAAAGACAATAGATAAAACAGAACACGAACACGAAGATAACACAAAAAATAAACAACTATGAAAAAGAAAAGACAAAGACCAAAACAGGATATACAGTATACAATGCTCCGACTGCAACAAATTCTATATCGGCCAAACCAAGAAAAAACTAATCCAAAGGTACAATGAGCACAAAAAGGCATACATAAACCGAATGGTATATAAATCAAACCTCGCAACACACGCCATACAAAACAAACATGATTTCCCCCCACCAGAACATAAAACTCATAAAACAAGTCAACAAGGGAAACCGCATGGACATTTGGGAAAACTTGAATATCCATAAATTTAACAGTCATAAATCACTTATCGAGGAACAAGTACAAATNAAACGACTTTGGAAACAAATCTCGAAACACGTCGATTTTTAGTTTGAAATCATGATTTTTTGGCATACAATTATACTAGTAACGTTATCCACCTTGGCGTGATGACGATTCATTTTAAATAAGAAGGAAGGGCGATAGCTCAAATGAAAGGTAATTCAATTCTCGATTCTGTGATACATAGTTACATATTTAGGTAGGCCAGAACTAATTTGTTTTTTGAATCAAATTAATTTACACAATGTATCTAATATAAAATACATATTACTACTGTGAGAAAACAAACAAAAAGTTTATTTGACAAATAAAAATTGCTCTGCGCCTTAATTGAATATTCAAATTGTCACTCACCTGCCTTTTGGCAGTAGGTAATTGAACCGACAACGACAATAATCTTGAATATTTGAGTTTTATTGTAATTATATTATAAAATCTTGTAAATTTTGTGGGCGATCGATGGAAACTTTTGATCTCAAGTAAATTCATAGGAAAAAGCGAGTGGTCTGAGATCTGGAAACCTTGCGGGTAACTCTATTGTTCCTTGTCTACTAACCATAACTAATATTTCGATTCTTTGTGTTTCAGTTAATGGATCCATTATTTATTTATTTCATGCATTCAACTAATTCTTTATATTTACTCCTTGTGTAAATTAATTTAATTCAAAAATTAAATAATTTTTTCCACTATGTTGATGTTTATGTCACTGAATAGAGAATTATATAACTTTTCACATGAGGTGTCATACCATCCCTATTCTTATCAAGGAAATTATTTGAAACTAAAAATCGACCTGTTTCGGGGTTTGTCTCCAAATTCACCTGTTTAAAAAAAAATGCATTTATTCCATAATTTTACCTCTCACTGAAGTTATTATTCAATGAGTAGCAATGATTCTGCTAAGCTGAAGTACAGTAATGATTTCGAATTATGATTCGGAATAAGTAAATCTCAAAAACAATTTTTAGTACCCATTAGCCGGAGAAGTTTCCAGTCAGTAATCTAGAGAGGACATATAATGAGGGTATTCTCAGAAGATAAGATACACTTGTAATTATTCAAACTCATTTATTATAGAGAAGGTACAAAATAAAATCACTTATAGAAAAGGTACAAAATAAAATTATTCCATTCAAAAACAAAAAGATGCAAGATATTTAAATTTTCAACATCGTTTATTCTTCATATATTCATTTTGAATAAATACTTTTATTTTTACCCAAGTTTTGTCTTCAAAAGTTTTGGGATGTTTTTCAATTAGTTCTTCACACTCATATCGCTTTGGAGGTTTTGAACTGTCGATATGGTTTTTAAAAAACTTTTTTGCCAATGTCCTCTGTGTTTCAGTCCAAGGAATTAGGATTCTTTTTTTTCTATTTGTTACTGTTTTCTTCTCTGATGCTCCCTTTGAACTATTACCGTCCTTTACAACTTGATCTTTCTCAAAACCTTTTTGAAAATCATCATTGCCAACCTCTCCTTCAGACTCCATTTCGCTGTCATCATTTTCATCAATTAAATTTTCTTCCATATCAAAGTCAATCTCGTCTAAGCTTTTACCTTTATATTTTTTGCTCTCACCTTTCTCCATCAACAAAAGAAGTTTAGAAAGTTTTGCTGTTTGATAGATGTCATCAGGAAGCCTATATGAGCCCCTGTGAATTCCAGATGTGTGTCCCATGAATGTAGCTAACTGTTCAATATCACCATCTNATCGGTTTTACAGTAATAACAAAAGTTCTTTAATTTTGTTTTTCATTTTGTTGATGTTGTCTCAACATCTGTAATATTATTAAGACAAACATACTCTTTTTCATTACTGGTTCCGCATTCGTTTGATTTACTTGGTTGTATTCAGTTTCATCATTTTTGTCGATATCTAATAGACAAATTAGGTTATCGGTGGTTTTTGTACCATTTGTCACGTTTGAGTTTTGATCTACTTTTCTAATTATTTCGGAATTATTGCAATATTTTTCAGGTGTTGGTTGAGTGGACGTTGAGTTCAAATCAGATGAATAATATATTTTGATTGAAGAAGATACCTAAAAATAAATAATTGCAAATAATTGGTTTGTAATAGGCATTAAACTTTTCATCACATACGCCATATATGTTTTCAATATTTTTTTTAAATTATGAAATGAAGGCGGATTTCGTTTTAAATATAGTTACTACTAAACAGTAGTGTTTGGAAACGCATTGTGAGATGTGTGTTGAATGTGGTGTACTTTAACACTTACCTCTGAGCTAGATGGTACATATGAAGAGTCACCAGAATAGAAAATTTCATCTGACACCTAAAAAACAAACGACATTAACCTTGAAATATTTTTATAATTCCTTCAACACACCCAGCTTCTTTTATCGATAGATTCGGAACTGTTTTGTAACTCTTTCAATTGACTACAAACACCAACCTGGAATAATAAACCGCTTAATTATAAGTGCCTGAGAAAACAGTTAGTAGTTAATAAAAACAAGTGAGATACAGATATTTATATACAGAATTTTGGATGTTTCTTAAAACAGAAATATTTGATATCTATTATCAAAAAATTGACCAGATATCAAATGTGAAGTGAATCAATTGATGTGAAATTTTTTTAAGACTTCAGAACTTAGTTGTTGATAACAACGATGTGAATAATTGATACAAATGTTTTCTTATTCAATTAATGGATATTAAATATAAGAACATTTGTTTCATTCTCATCTTTATCTTTTTTCAACTCTAGACTTTTTGGTACAATTACAATGTTTTCCAAAATGCATATTCTTTTTGTTCTTCTTCATCATCCATACGATTTAATATTGGAGACAACGATTTATTACAAAACCAATTGGTGTTTTTTTTCTCGGCCCTGAACTCGGATGGTACCTATATGAAAGACAATGAAATTAATTAACCCTGCGTAGGTCGCGTGTTGTTGTGGATTATAGGGGGTCGCGCGGTATCTCACAGATGTATGAACTTAAAAATTATATTCTATCGAACTACTGTCGTATTAATGAAAACAAAAACAAATATGAGGTACTTTTATTGAATTAGAAAAAGTCAACATAAATTAATAAATTCTTATATAAACATAAAAGCAAACCTTCAGAAGTTGAAACTTATGCAAGCTATAGATTAACAGGGTCTTACTTTTTAACGTGCGATTCCTGGCACGGAAAAATGAAACAAAAAAATCAAATGGAAATATGACGAAGTTACAAATGGTCTCCCATTTCATCAAAAAATCAGCGGGACCCTGCGCTTTCTTAAAATTTTCACACATTTCTTAATGAAGGCTCCTTTATGTTTTTATTTGGCTAATCTGCATTTAAAATTTTGGTTTTGTTTCGGATGAGAAAAATTCTGTAGAACCACAAAGATATGGAAAAGTAGGTACAATATTTAGTTCATAGAATCACTTAATTAATTTCATTGTCTTTCATATAGGTACCATCTGAGTTCTGGGCCAAGAAAAAAACCCCAATTGGTTTTGTAATAAATCGTTGTCTCCAATATTTATTCGTATGGATAACAAAAAACAAAAAAAATGCATTTTGGTAAACATTGTGATTGTACCAAAAAGTCTAGAGTTGAAAAAAGAGAAAGATGAGAATGAAACAAATGTGAGTTTTCATTCTTATATATTATATCCATTAATTGAATGAGAAAACATTTTTATCAATATTCAAAGTTTGTTTACATCGTTATTGTCGACAACCAAGTTCTGAAGTCTTGAAAAAATTTCACACCAATTGATTCACTTCACATTTGATATCTGGTGAATTTTTTGATAACGAACATTTCCGTTTTAAAAAACATCAAAAATCATGTGTATAAATAACTGTATCTCACTTGTTTTTATTAACTACTAACTGTTCATTATTCCAGGTTGGTGTTTGTGGTCAATTGAAAAAGTTACAAAATAGTTTTGAATCTATCGATAAAAGAAGTTGGGTGTGTTGAAGAAATTATAAAAATATTCCGAATTTTATGTCGTTTATTTTTCAGGTGTCAGATGAAATTTCTTATTCTGGTGACTCTTCATATGTACCATCCAGCTCAGAGGTAAGTGTAAAAGTACGCCACATTCAACACACATCTCACAATGCGTTTCCAAACAGTACTGTTTAGTAGTAACTATATTTGTAAAAGTCATTTCATAATTCAAAAAATATTAAAAATGTAAAAAAAAAATTAATGCCTATTACAAACCAATTATTTGCAATTAATTATTTTTAGGTATCTTCTTCAATCAGAATATATTATTCATCCGATTTGAACATGTCGTCCCCTCAACCAACACCTGAAAAAGATTGCAGTAATTCAGAAATAATTAGGAAAGTAGATCAAAACTCAAACGTGACAACTGGTACAAATACCACCGATGACCTAATTTGTCTATTAGATATCGACAAAAATGATGGAACTGAATGGGTTTCAACAGAAGGATTTCGAATAGAATACGACCAAGAAAATCAAGTGAATAGTAATTCAAACGAATGCGGAACCAGTAATGAAAAAGAGTCTGTCTTAATAATATTACAGATGTTGAGACAACATCAACAAAAAGAAAAACAAAATTGAAGAACTTTTCTTATTACTGTGAAACCGATGTAACCAATTTTGCCAGGCATGTGATTAATAATCATTCCACCGAAATGGATGTGATAAAATTTATGTCCATGCCTCCAAACAATTTGGAAAAGGGACGATTGCTGGCTAAGCTGAAAAATAAAGGAAATGTTCTAAAAACAGCAAATGATTGTCCCAGAAGAATTCGACGAGGGCAGATTCCAGAAACATCTGTTCTACCATGTGATAATTGTCTTGTTTTTTTTTCTTCAAAACTATTATATAGACATAGGAAAAAGTGTAGTAGCAAGAGCGGAAGGGCACAAAGTAGCGGCCAAACTGCTTTATTATTGTGTCATCGCAGAGTAGATGACAGACTTAAAAAAGATGTTTTTCCACGAACGCGAGCGGACAAAATATCTCTTGAGGCTAAAGCAGATGAATTGATTTGTTCGTTTGGAGCTCGTTATCTGAGATTGCATAAGGATAAGCACTTTGCTACCGTAACCTCCCGAAAGATGAGAGAACTTTCAAAAATCATGATTGAGATAAAAAAATGAAACCGGAAATAAAATCATTTTTCCAAGCACTTCAACCAGCGAGATATGATTCAGCCACTAATGCATATGGAGTACCTTCATTTGCCATGAATATCGTGAATTCATTCAAACAGTGTTGTGATATTGCCATTGATTTTGTTCTTAAGGGCGGTGAAACGGTATCTTCTGCTGAGGACGTTTCTCAGTAGGGAACTATGATTCATTTATTTACAACTAACTGGAAATACAAGGTTTTAAGTCAAGCCGCTAATAGTCTACATTTGAATAAGTGGAATAAAGTAACGATCGTACCACTCGCTAGTGACTTAAAAGTTCTCAAACAGTATCTTATTGATTCGGCCAAAGAGCAACAGAGAAACTCAATACTAATAACTTAGATACCATAGCTTATAATCTATTGGTTGAAACCATTTATTGCCGCGTTTTACTTCTGGATAGAAGACGACCTGGTGAACTTCAGAGAATGCTTCTGCAGACCTATTTGACTTGCGGTAATGAGAAGGGGCATTATGAAGAATTTGAGAGTATAATCACTGTCAGAACGCCTGTTATTGAAAAAATTGAAGCGTGTAGTCATGAAGGGAAAAAGAGGTAGAGGAGTCCCTGTACTTTTTAGTGATGATGTACAGAAAGACATTCAGTTGATGGTTGAAATTCAACCCACTATGGTTCCACAAGAAAATGTATTTCTGTTTGCTAAAGCAAACATCAAAACTGAAATCAGCGGTTATAAAGTTATAAAGAAACATGCCCGATTAGGTGGAGCAACAAATCCGGATTCAACAACTGCGACACGTCTCAGAAAACATTTGGCCACACTAATGCAGATCTTCAACATGACAGATGATGATATTGAACAGTTAGCTACATTCATGGGACACACATCTAGAATTCACAGGGGCTCATATAGACTTCCTGATAACATCTATCAAACAGCAAAACTTTCTAAACTTTTTTTGTTGATGAAGAAAGATGAGAGCAAAAAATATAAAGGTGGAAGCTTAGACGAGATCGACTTTGATATGGGAGAAAATTCAATTAATGAAAATGATGACAGCGAAATGGGGTCTGAAGGAGAACTTGGCAATGATGATTTTCAAAAAAGTTTTGAGAAAGATCAAGTTGTAAAGGACCGTGCTAGTTCAAAGAGAGCATCAGAGAAGAGAACAGTTACGAATAGGAGAAAAAGAATCCTAATTCTTTGGACTGAAACACAGAGATCATTGGCAAAAAAAATTTTAAAAACCATATCAAAACCTCCAAAGCGATATGAGTGTGAGGAACTAATTGAAAAACACCCCAAAACTTTTGAAGACAAAACTAGGGTAAAAATAAAAGTATTTATTCAAAATGAATACATGAAGAAGAAACGATATTGAAAATTGAAATATCTGGCATCTTTTTGTTTTTGAATGGAATAATTTTATTTTGTACGTTCTCTATGAGTAATTTCATTTTATATCTTCTCTATAATGAATGAGTTTGAAAAATAACAAGTGTATCTTTTCTTCTGAGAATGCCCTTATTATATGTCCTCTGTAGATTACTGATTGGAAACTTCTTCGGCTAATGGGTACTAAAAATTGTTTTTGAGATTTCATTATTCCAAATGACAATTAGAAATCATTACTGTTCTTCAGCTTAGCAGAATCATTGCTACTCATTGAATAATAACTACAGTGAGATGTAAAATTAAGGAATGAATGATTTTTTTTAAAACTGGTGAATTTGGAGACAAACTCTGAAATAGGTGAAAAGTTATATAATTCTCTATTCAGTGACATAAACATCAACAGAGTGGAAAAAAATATTTAATTTTTGAATTAAATTGATTTACATAAGAAGTAAATATGAAGGATTAATTTATTGCATGAAATAAATAAATAATGACTCCATTAACTGAAACACAAATAATCAAAATATTAGTTATGGTCAGTAGATAAGGAACATTAGAGTTATCCGCAAGATTTATAGATCTTAGACCACTCACTTTTTCCTATGAGTTTACTTGAAATCGAAAGTTTACATCGATTGCCCACAAAATTTACAAGATTTAAAAATATAATTACAATAAAACTCCAATGTTCAAGATGAATGTCGTTATCGTTCAATTACCTACTGCCAAAAGGCAGGTGAGTGACAATTTGAATAGTCAGTTTAGGGGCACAGCAATTTTTATTGGTCGAATGAACTTTTTTTTGTTTTCTCACAGTAGTGATAGGTATTTTATATTAAATACATTACATACATAAATTGTATAAATTAATTGAATTCAAAAAACAAATCAGTTTTGGCCTACCTAAATATGTAACTATGTACCTATCACTGAATCAAGATTTGAATGACCTTTCATTCAAGCTATCACACGAACTCAATTCTTATTAAAAAAAATCCTCATCACGTCCAGGTGGATAACGTCACTAGTATGATATGTATGCCAAATAATCATGATTCCAAACTAAAAATCGACGAGGTCCGAGATTTGTTTCCAGAATCGTTTATTCTCGAAATCATTATTCCATTATTATGCCCCTCGTATATTTTATTTACAAGTATTCGTGAAATTAAAATCCCACAAATCTCAGATTTCACTCTTGGTTATCTAATGATTTTATTAACATATACCTACAAATTTCACACCTGTTTATAGTTTGTCCCTGGCCATTTTGGAGCCATGTATTATAAGAAAAACAAGA